TGAACCCGCAAGTATCCGCGCCAACGAACGGGATCTGAAATATCTGGAACTGCAGAATGCCCTGGATGGACCAGTACATATATTCCCACCTGCTAAAGTTGTCGCCCAGCTTTAAACGAAGACTCAAAAAAGACTCGAAAGTGGCAAGAATAACCATACTTACCCAATGCCCAGTCCACTTCCCCGCTGAGGGGAACGTTGATCGACTGATGATGAATGGCCGCTGACCGGGGAGAATCGACTGAAGCGCCTTGTGCGTTGCCATTTCCTCCATCAAGCCCCACATATTGTGCACGTCCAGCTCCGCGTACCCGCCAAAGTGTGTCGCATTCGGCGACAAGGTGCTGACCGCGAGACGGCCGTTGCCTGCAATAACCACCGCGTGAGCCCTACTCGCCGATATCGCCGGTTTATATGGCGGAAGAACACACTGCGACATACCGTTGTGAATCGCATACGGCGGGTTGTTGATATCTATTCCGGTCTGATTGCCCGCGCCGATCCCCCGCGCACTCAGTCCACTCCCGTCCGTTTTTGCGTTGCTGACGTCAAGTTCGGAGCCACTAGGTCCCACATTAGTTTGAATGAAGGGAAATAGATTGATGTGGCGGGTAGAACTCACCATGAGCCTTCGCAGAAAGAGGAGATTTCGTTCATATCCAGCCAAATTCCTGCACGCAGGGCAATTACTTTCAGTAACATCTGCGTGGCACTTCAGTTGCTGGGCACGCACCGCTGAACTCAACCCCTGTTTGAGACCAATTCTTCAACGCTTCCGTCCACCAAGCGAGAGTGTTCGGGGCGAACCAGTCTGGGAAGACCTAGGAAGGCAGACATGGAAGGAGGCACTGTTGGGCATCCAATTGAAAGTAATGTTAATGAAATAGTCACCGTGAACCTGGAGCAATTGTAAGCAAACCGCGCACAAGAAGTGAATAAAACAATTACCCGGGCCAGACTTGTCCTACGTAGTCCGTCTCGTCGGGGTTCTTGATCCATACGTCCCTGTTAAGGACGTCAAAAAGACATTCTGCTCTAAAGCTCGAAAAGCGGCCATGGGTAGGGGCTTACAGTTCAATGCCCTTGAGGTACGGCTCATACTGGAAAATGCTCAGTCAGAACAAAACAGCCACGAAAGACACGCACGAAATCGGTGCTGTTGGTCTGCGTGGCGATCGCGGCGTCGACGATTGAAATATCTGTGTTCAATTCTAAGCAATGGTTTGGGGCAAACAGACGCAAACTCAACAATGCTGGCTATTTTGGTGCTAAGATCCCCGTCGTCAGAATCGAGATCCAATTGCACAGGAACTCACCAGTTGAGTTATGAGTTCGACCACCTCGTCAAGTGGGAAAGTTATGGGGTCGGTCGTAAAATCTCTGAACGCGTGGAACAGATCGATGTCGGTCCACTGCGTCTCCAACGGGATATTTGCATCCCGCATCCTCTGTACCACTCCCTTCGTGTCGTTAATACTGGTGTACCCAAAGCGGCAGAGATGGAACCCGAAGCCCCAGTATGGCTGCCAGGTGGGCTTTCCGACGATGGAAGAGTATTGTTCGATGACAGACACCGGGGTTGGCCCAGAGAGGAAATAAAGAGAGATGATGCCCCCGATAAGTCGGTATTGGATGAGGGATGTAAGAGAGGAGGGAGGTGTGAGGAGAAGAATGTCGGCGGCGGCTGGGCTAAGAGGTAGTTATTACTCAGGATGAAATGGGGAAGAAGGCAGCAAAGGAGTTGCGCACGCACCTTAGTAAGAAGACACCGTGCGTCTGCGAGATGTTGGTTGTGCTATTGAACCGGTGCTCGATGTAAACGGGATGACTGCCATAGCTGCAGCGGAGTTGTGTCAGAGATCCTCCCAGCTGAAACGAAACTTTCACTCACATATTTTGATCAGTGGGATCTGGACTGTCTCGCGCTGGGGAAACTCAGCCATCTATAATAAAAGCAGACGGAAGCAGTAGACCCTTACCCCAGTCAGTTTGGATCGTGCCAACACCTCCATTCGTTCCTATATCCCGTCGAAGTCCGCTACTCGCCACGACTTCTCCAAGACCATAGATATTGGCGTCAAGGGGAAGCGCCGACGTGAGCTGCAAATATTGGTCCTCAAACACCAGGGGGAAACCATCCAGCGCAGTCGATTTGTCCCCCTGAATTATCGGAGCGACCGGAGTTGCGGGCAAAGAAGACTCCCTGGTATCGAATAGAGGGGTAGCATCGGGTTCAGAACGACGCGTAATCCAGAACGCAAACGGTGAGGGCTCGTAGTTGAAGACCAGATCCGAGTTTTCGGCGGTACTCGAGCCCGATGCCCCCGGGGGCGCAATGACGGACTCGGGGACCGTGAACTGCGAATTCGCAGTGTCGAAGATGTTCACATGCAGCCTTTCTCTGTTTGAATCTCCGACACACGGGAGAATTCGCAGATGCGTACCTGCTTTGCGTCTCGTAATTGACCTGAATCGTGAGGCTGGAGATGTCCGCCCCGAAGGCGTTGCATGCGGGACCTGCGAGATCGAGCTTGGCGGTGAGCCCATTCTGCGTCTCGGACAAATCGCTGAGGGTGTATCCGGGACAAGCAGAGACGTTGAAGGAGTGGGTGATGCTCGGTGCCGCCTGCTGACGGCGGGCCTCTTGGCCGCCAACGCCGGTGCTGAATGTGCTGCCTGCGGCGAGAAGTAGCGCCAAGCTACTTAGGCTGGGATGAAACATCGTGGACGAGCGGCGCCTTGGAACGGGGGCGATTTATAAGATCGTACGTCATGGAGAAGAGGTTTGAAGAAGGAAGGGATTGACCAATGGAAGACCGTGGATGTGGTGAGGACGGGGAGCGGAGGCCCGTTCATCTACGTATACCGAGTCACAATCCTTGACAAATTTCGTCAGATGAACGCGCGCGCGAAGCCACACAACAACACACCACGCGAACACCCAAAACTTCTTCCTTCCCGCGCAGCGTACTTGTTGTCACAATAGATCGGAAGCAGGAAGGGCTGGGTGGAGGGTGTCTTCATCTTGGAATCGGTGTGCAGGCGTTCAGTGAGAAGAGTAAAAGCTGGACGTGCTCTAACTGAATCAGATCGGAACGCCGCGCGTCAGGGTGGAGCGAGAAGGTAGCATACAGTCTCATGCGACCCGATCAGCATGTGCGCATGCTTCCATCATTCCCACCTCCGGTGCTCAAGCTCAAGCTCAGCGCGAATTGGGTGGTACAGGTGACTGGTGCACTGTGGGGAGCGATTACAATCGGGCTGAGTGATGACTCCTCACCCAATCAGAACATTTGATCAATCAAGCCGAGTGTGCCGAACCCGACTGCATTTCAACCCACTCAGCCTGATTCAGTAGATTACAGGGCTGATTTCGACGTACCCAGAAACGGCGAGCAATATTAGCGAGGCGGCAGCTGCCGGCTGTGAGCCGACAGCCCCAAGAAGATATGTATAAATAAGGGCACGGTAGCTATACATATCCAGGACGACGTGTGAAATATAGCACAAGACAATACCTCCGCTTCGCTCCGGCAGGAGGTCTAAGGTGTGTAAGGTTGGTGTAAGAGCACATGTTCAAAGGCGTGTCAGTGCCAATTCAAAGGCTATTGAAGATCGTAGTGTGAGAACTCAGAAAAGAAATAAGATTTGATTTGATTCGGTGCTAAATAAGATGTAAATAACCTGGTTGCATACCACTTGCCAATTTGTTCTACGAGGTGAAGTCGGAGCTTATTTAAGTAAACTCTTTTTGAATTCATGGACCGACGCTGGGTCTCTCAGCCGTGGGAAACCGTGTCAATTCTGAGGAACGAATTGTTGACCCAAGGGACAAATTGAATGGTCCGTCAATGTCCTAGGTTGGGGATAGATTTGTGAAACCAGGAACCAGAGAACCAGAAGGATTCAGTTGAGTACGGTGATTTCATTGCAGTTCACGTACTTAACCGCCACATCGGAATTCAAAGTCGGAAACAGATATCAGAAGAGCAATATTTGATCCAGTCCATGGCCAGAAGGGCATCCCAACGGTGAGGCTCCGGAGCAGTGGTGTTCGATTCCAGGTTTGAATGTGAACCAGAGAATCTTGAGGAGCGCACAGACGGAGAAGGACATACTGCACAGACGGAGAGGGACATACAGGTAAGTTTGAGGAAAGCCCAGGCCAGGTGAGTCAGGGGAGCGTAGAAAGATGGGAGGAAAGACCAGGATGGGTGAGTGGGATGAGGGATTTATATCGTGTAGCTGCGGGCTGTGCGGTAAGGATCTCGAAGTCGAACGGCCTTCTGGGCTGCGAGAGCAGCTTGATAATTCCATTGAACAGCTTTTGAACGGAGGTCAGATATCAACTGAGGTCAATTTTGAGCTGCGCCGCCGCTGGGTTCCGGGGATTGTGTGAAGAATTTCATTTCTTTTGAATGGTGCACAGGTGCGTTGATTGATTTCGAACTGCGCATGGGGACACAACGGCAAAGATCCACAGAGAGGGAGGAGAGGGGAGCAAAGGGAGATAACCTACATGGGGATGGGACTAAAGAAATCCAAACGAATGCGAGGCTTCTCGTTAAAGAACGGTTAATGCGGGACGGTGGGTGACAGAAAATCCACAAGTGGTGGTAGGAAAAGAGATTCAGACCCCCCTAAAAGTCTCTGCACATCCGAGTCATTGCCGCCGTCGATCGATCTTGTAAAAGCTTAGAGGGGCCCGCTGGCCAGGAGTGACACAGGGCACGGCAGAGCACCCCGTGTTTTGCGAAGGGTCCCCGGCGGCGCGACGTCAAGGTGATGCAAGAAGGAATGAGGGAGAGGACAGCCCGGCCGACCTGGTGCGATATTAAACCAATATAAATCAAGCTCTAAACTCGAGAAACAGTCATCCTGAGTGTAATTTCTGAAACAAAATGTATATAGCCTCCGAACCGAGCTCATGGGTGCGGGACAAAAGTTACAAGGCGCTGTATGTAGGCAAAACAAAGAATTTGTCGTCGCGGCTTAAAAGATGATTGGAGTGGGATTCGAACCCACGCCCCGGAGGACTAGATTGGGTCAAATTTTACACCATTAACACCTGATTCTAGCGCCTTAGACCGCTCGGCCATCCAACCATAGGTGTGGCATTCTACATAGCCTCCTCATCTTGCGCGGCTGGGCCTTGGCATTTGCTATTGAAGCTGGAAGGGGAGGAGTTTGATCTCCGAGGTAGCCGGAGTACTAAAGCCGCAAGAGATCTAGAGTCACACCGGCAATCACGAAATTTCGGATGAGCCGAGCCGCAAGTCGAAATTCAAAGCGTCGAATTGACAATAGTTGGGCCTGAAATCTAAGCTGATTCTCTGAGTTTTGTGAAAGAATTTGTGCACACTGAAAGCCAAAGAAAAGTCTTTGTATTCAATTTCAGTGAAACTTTAATGGTACTCAAAGTTTCAGTTTACAAATAGTGCAAGCTGAAATTGTGTTGCGAAACCATAGGCATCAACATGCAAAACAATGTAGCTGAAACCAATACAGATTCTAGCATTTCAGGTGTGCTTTCATCTCGCCTGAAATCAAAGCAGAAACTTTGCATTTCGAACCAGGTGAAATCGAATCTGGTTTAATTTCACCTCGTTCGAAATGCAAAGTTTTGACTTTGCTTTCAGCAGCGCTGAAAGCACACCTGAGACACTAAATTTTATATTAGTTTCAGCTCCAGCTTTTTGTATGTCGATACCTCTAGTTTCGCAACATGATTTCGGCTTGCTTTTTTTGTAAACTGAAACTTTGAGTACCATTAACGTTTCAGTTAAGTCGAATACAAAGATTTTTCTTTGGCCTTCAGCGCACATGAATTCTTTTACGAAACTTAGAGAATCAGCTTGGATTTCACACCCAACTATTGTTAACTCAACACTTTGAGTTTCGATTTGCGGCTCGGGCCGCCCGAAATTTCGTGATTGCCGGTGTGAGTGAATCAATACAATTGAGGTTATTGCTTCCGCTTGATTTTTTAGTCTGACCGTGTCAGACAAAGGGAAGTCAGCATACAAGCAGCTGTGGAGCACAGTGGTTGCCCTCTTACCATTGAAGACGCATGTTTCATTCCCCAGCCTCATCGTGGCAAGAAGAACTTTTACTTTTTGTTCTTCGGTCTCCTGTTGGACGTCCTTTCGCGGCTCCTTTACCTTCTATCACGAAGGAATATTCAGTCAGTATACCAGCGGCTGTAGACATGGTGGCCACCCTCCTACCATTGAGATCTTGAGAACTCCTGTTGAGATTTCCGATGGGGTTTGATACCCCCGGTCGCATTACCGTGTTCTGATCATTTTTCGTTCTCCCCCTCCGGGTGTTATTGATGTATCAATTGGTTAAAGTCTGCAATGACTAAACGACTGACCCATTGCGAAGCGACCGTAGACCATGGCAGTCTCTCAAAGACAGACACTTCAACCGTTGATACTCGGAACTCGCTGCTTGAAAGAGCATGGTGGTCGCCCTCTTATCCTTGAAGACACACTCGGTATTGACGAGGGAAGCGGAGGCTCGATTCCGGCCAACCGCATAGCGGGAAAGATTTCTTCCCTTTTATTTTCGTTCTCCTGCTCCGGACGCCGTCCATTCATCAGTGGTGTAAAGCCTGCCACGACAAAAGAAACGAACATGCAAGGTGTGAGGGGCATTGCCAGCAAATTTAAGGATTGGCAGAGACATGGTGTTTTATTTTGTTTTATATGTACTACAACAACAACAACAACAACAACAAACGGGCACTTCACGTCAAGGGGGAATCCGGTTGTGATGAGCCAACTGTGCAAGCAGAAGGCATGTAAATCTCCGCATGTGAACCTGCCGTGATTTGATTAATTCTGGAACGAGGTCCAGCACCCCTGCCTGTGTGAGGTCCCGTGCGCCAGCTTGCGAAAGAGCGAGGTTGACGAGCGCGTAACATGCATCTGTCATGACCTTTGTATTCCCGTCACTGGATGCCAATTGAGAAGGACATAATTTTGGAAATTGAACCAAAACCTCACCGCAAAAGAGCGAGAAGTGGCGCGGAGGGCTGTACAGCGACTACCGCTGTCTGTGTGGATGAATGAAGTGCAAGCCTGCCCAGGGCCCAGCAGGCATGTCTTTGTAAATCCGTGTCTTGCGATTCCAGCAGTTGTTTGAGAAATTCAGGTGCCCTTGCTTCCACCACCAGTGTAGCACCGTCCAGGTTGCGAGAGATCTGAGAGACCGCAAAACATGCACCTCTGACGACCTTCACATCGGCATCGCTGAACAAAAGGATTGATGTGCATGCGACAATCACAGGAACTGAGCTCACCTCAGAAGGGCAACGAGGCGTGCCACCAGCTGCACAGTGACTACCGCTGCCCGTGTGGATGAATGAACTGCGAGCTGGCCGAGGGCCCAGCAGGAATGTCCTCGTACATCCCTGTCTTGTGACTCCAGCAGTCGATTGAGAATTTCCGGTGCCCTTGCTTCCACGACGGGTATGGCGTCGTCCAAGTTGCGAGAGATTTGGGAAACCGCAAAACATGCACCCTTGACGACCTTAAGGTTGCCATCACTGCACCAAAGGATTGATGCGCGTACGACAATCACAGGAACTGAGCTCACCTCAAAAGAGCAGCGAGGCGTGCCCCTGGCTGTACAGCGACTACCGCTGCCTGTGTAGATGAATGAAATGCAAGCCGCCCCAGGGCCCAGCAGGCGTGTCTTCGTACATCCGTGTCTTGTGATTCCAGCAGTTGTTTGAGAAATTCAGGTGCCCCTGCTTCCACGAGCGGCGTGGCGCCGTCCTGGTCACGGGAGATCTGGGAGACCGCGTAACATGCAGCTTTGACAACGTTCACGTCGGCGTCACTGACCGCCGATTGGAAAGGACTGAATTATCATATTTACGCAAGGACTCACCCTGAAAGGGCAAGTAGTCGCGCACACGGATGTACGGCGACTACTGCTCCCCGCGTCGACGAGTGGAATGCAAGCGCGGCCAGGATCCAGCAGGTCCATCTTCGTACCGTAACATCTGCTGAGTCCAACAGCATATCATACACCAGAAGAAAGTGTGCGACAACGCGGGCTTCGGCCTCAAATCTGGCCCTATCTTCCAATTCGCGGAGAATAAGTACTTTTGTCGTCTCGGCCACATATTTGGACCTAAGATTGGGCGCGTAAGACCTGGATGTCCAACCACAGAAATGGATGTGGCCCGCTTACACGAGATAGCTTTCGTAGATTTGCATTGTCTCTGCGGACGGCGGGATTCCTTGTTGTTGTTTTATCAAGTCCAACACCGCACGGTGGTACATGAGCTTCATCAGAGGCTTTGCCATCGCATGTATCGAGATTGTTACCCCCAGATAACTGCGGGACCACTCGCTGTGGAGGCTTTGGGGCATACGTTGGCGAGTCAATGAGGGCATGGGAGAGGATGAAGCAAGGCTGTGATACCTCGTATATTAAGCAGATGCCCTGAATCACATTGTTCACATTTGTGCCATCATTTTGAGATGCCCAGCTGAACTGATCATGATTCTCGGGGCTTCGTTTTCCCCTCACACGCCGCCAAAGGACCTACTTGCAGTAATCCAGTTCCCACTCCATTCTGCTGGATTAAAAAAAAAGCCGATCTTGGGCTACTTTTGACCTCCCCGATCAACTTGAATCGCTCAAATCAAGATCCGTTCAAAAGATGTGTCCTTCGCATCTTCCTTCCCACCTCCATCATTCTCCACTCACGCGCCGTCTTTATTCATGCCCCATCCACAAAATCTTCCCTTGCTGGCCCGCAAACATGAAAGATTCCGCCCCTGCACTCTCTTCATCTCTTCCTCCGCCGCCGCTCCTCTTCAAAACATCGCCAGCCTCTCCCCAAATCTCCGATGACCTCTCACCCATTAATAACTGCGTTCCAGGCCCGTGTCGGGACACTATGTTGACGTGGGTTGAGGTGTGATGGACATCGTTGACTAGGCTCGGCACAACTGTCTTCACCTGAGCCGAGGATGAGTCGACACTGTGCCGACCTAGGAGTTTTCGACTTCGGGTTTTCCGCTTGTGGGAAATTTACTAATTTTATGCACCTGAGAAGTCCCTTCAACTGTGAGACCATTCTCACGGCTTGACGTGCAAGCGCATTTAAGCCCCCATCCCGTTTGACCGCTAAGTAGTAGTAGGTTGTTTCGCGAAAAAAAGACATTGTGATGAATAATCCATAGAACAACCATGGGGTGTCGAACTTCGGCATGCGAGGTCGATAGAAACTCTAGGACCCCTCAAAACAATCCAGTTGATGGATCAACCGAACATCTGGGAAATGCCCAATGTCTATGGTGGTCTTGGCTAGACACGAGGAACCAATAGGCAGATACACTGCCTCTAGCGTACGGAAGTCATATAGAGAGGCCATCTCTAGGGAAGACCGCGCTAGACCTATAGTCGGGCAGAGGGATGGACAGATAGACTTACGTAGAGATCTGTTACGGTATCCAAATATTGATGTCGCCCGAATCAAATTGATCAGTTGTCCACTTCTTTTTGAGCTCATCGATACACTAGTGGGATGCTTTAATTTTTATTCCGGGGCATTTGCGATAAATTTATGCACGATGACACAGTGTGTTGCTCAAAATTTATAACTGCAGCTGTGAATGACTTCACACGTTCTCTTTGAAGCCCGTACCCAACAAATTCCCACGGTTGAATTTTGAGAACTTCTCTCAACGCTATATTGCCAGGGTCACTTCCAGGCAAACTTCAGACCGGAGTTATTTTTATCAATCTTGTAGTTACTGTTGGGTCTCCCTCTGCCTCAGACCGGCCATTGAAACAGCGAGTTGCGAGCAAGCAAACCAACTCTCATCCACATGTGTTGAAATTCAGTGCCCAAGTTCCTTGCAATACAATTTGGTGCAAGTTCATAGGCTTGTAGCAGTATGGGTTGGTGTACCTTAATCGCACCGTCATCGAGACGCAGATATTGACGAGGGTCCGATTCCTCCCGACCGCATAGCTCTGAAGAAAATTCGCTTTTTAATGTCATTCCCTCTTGCTCCGGACGTTATCGATTTCTCAGCAAGAATCTGGAACGACTAAATGACGAGACAAGCGGCCGTAG